ATATGTGTGTGACTGTGTGTGTGTGTGTGTGTATTCATACATATGTATTCTGATTTACCATTTTTTAGATAATTATATTTACAATAATATAGAATCATCAGTATAGGTGAATTGAAATGTAATTACTAATTTTCTTAAAATTTTCTTTTGCAATATAAAAATTTATACAGATAAATATTATAGTTTTGTGTATAAATATAATAAATAAGTAATTCATATGATAACTAGAATCTGTATTTTTAAAATTTACCATAGTGCAAGGAATTGCCCGATGTTCCTGTTAGGCTTCTTTCTTTTCCCAAAAGTAAGCTTATATTTTGTCCCCCTTTTAAAAGAATTTTGGCTCCATTACAGCTTGCATGTAAAAGGCCTAGTAGAATATAAATGGTTAAATTTAATTATAAGTTTTGGGAATGTTTGGTAACTCAATTTAATTATATCACAAGCACAACTTCTGATTGTTATCCTTATTGACGGAATCAAGGAATTATGGCTCTCTGTTTCAGGGTTGCAATGGGTTTAGGCCAAGCTGTAGCGCTTTGTATGGAACATTGCCAAGCACAAGAGTTGGCAGGTGATGATGCTTGGTTCAAGACTGTAGTTTTGTCCGGGGGAAGTGCATGTTTACCGGGACTCCCAGGTTTGAGATAAACTATTTCTTTCTGTCATTGTTTTATTTTTTCCCTCTTACAATGGTTTTAACTGCTATGAGGACGAAGTTAAAATTCCTTTTCTCCTTGTGCCATTTAAAAAGAAAGTGGACAAGAAACAAAGATGATAAGAAAATGAAAGAGCGTTTTGTTCCTTTCTGGCAATAAAACAGTGTAAGTGGATGAAGTGTAGTATTCTGCATCATGAACTTATTTATTTGTACTGTTTCCAGAAAGGTTACATAAGGAACTTAATGAGCTTCTTTGCCCATCAATTTCGAATGGAGTAAGAATCATTCCTCCTTACGATGCAGACACTGCATGGTTTGGAGCAAAGCTTATTGCCAATGTAAGTTACTTGTATAAAATTTCTATACATTTTTTAACTTGCAAATTTGGACTGCTGCCACATAACATTGGTCACCCACAGATGTTTCCTTGTGAGGGTTGGATTGTCATCATTTTCAGGGATGTTGAATGTGCCACTCACATTTATGCATAATCCGGCACATATGCAGTTATACATAAACCCAGTTGGTGGTTCCATGTCCTTAGGTTTGACTTATTTTTTAGTTACATCAACTTATAAATTTATTGGCATAGAGAATAAATTTTAAAGAGCATATGTCTTGGAATGGTTAGTTTTAACTATTAGCTGATCAGCCAAAAGACATAAACTCTAAAACCTACTACTTACTTTTAAGAATATATGAGTTTTATGAGGTCTTTCAAGTCTGCTTATTGATAAATTAGAAATAAATACACTAAACTAAATGGCTTCTAAATGTATCAGTTTATGACTGTTCTTGAAAGTCGCTCGATGTGGTTTGTGCAGTTGAGTAACTTCCCCAGGTCTTGGTGTGTGACAAAGAAGCAGTTCCGGCGCAAGTCTAAACTCAACCTGTGGTAGAGATTTTTTAATTTTTCTTGCTAGAATGCATTTAGGCAACCACACATTAATTCTTTTGTAATAGTTTGTTAAGCATAAAAAAATAAGCTCTTTAACAGGTAATTTATAGTTGTATCCATTTGCAGTCTACAGGGTACCCAAATTTATATTTGTATCATATCAAATAATAGCTGGTAACGAATGAAACCACTTTTTTTATGAGCCCGGATGGCTAGAGTGGGGGCTCAAGTGCAATACAGTGAAGCTCTATAAACGAAAGGTAATTTTATTTCCAAAATATCAAACTATTGGATTCTATTATCTTAGAACAAAATTTTTGATGAAGGAAAAAATAACTTAAATATTCCTAACAGATTAAATAACAAAGTAAAAATATGTCAGGAGTCCATCATGAGGAAAATTTCAGTTTTAAAAAATTGCAGTTTATGTGGGTACAAATGCAGAAACCAAGACTCAAATACAAACAATACAACCCTATACCAGTCGGTTGAGCATTAAATTACAAACATGTCCATAAATAAAAAAATCTTCAATATGCCTAACTTGGAATTATGAACCCTAACACAATCCCATGCTAAAGAAGAATATGGCCGAGGGAATAGAAACATGGATTGTAATCTTCACAAGCTTTGGAGAAACAAAACAATACTCAGAATAAACAGAAGTGACGCTTGAGTGTCCTATAGTAACTTTATTAACAACACTAACAAGGCAGCTGTGAGGGTAAGCAGCATGGATGGCCTACTTAACTGGCTTCCGTTAATATCTTCCGACTCGGAAGGTGGAGGTGCCAGGCATGCAAGCCCTTCTTTCCCCTCCCGGCATTCACTAGCAAAGAGACCAGGTGGGTACCTGCCATAGAGATTAATGTAGCTGAACATGGTAGAAGCACAATCAGTTGTTAAATCGTTAATGTACTCCACATATGGGCAAGCAAAGTCCTTGAATGCTCCACAGCATTCCTTCGGTGGATACCGAGGTCCTTTACATCGACTGACGATCACAGTGTAGTTCAGAAACTCAAAATTTACAGGGCAAGCTGTGGGAAGGAAGAAACAATATATTTTTGTCAACATAGTCTTTCATGGAAAAGAGATAATTACTACTAATTGTTTGTTTCAGTTCTATGATGACTTTCTTAACTACCAATATACACAAGCAAATCTAGGTGAACAAGCAACAGAACTACATAAATAATAAATGCACTTGGAAAATCAAAGTATGTAAAGAGCAATCAGCGGCAAACTGACAATAGCATCGAAACAAAGGTGTAAACTTATGACAGAGTTGAAAACAGTCGAAGGCCAACCAGTGCTGAACTGGAGATAGCATTGAAACGGACGTGTAAAGTTATGACACTAATGTTGTAGTGTTGAGGTTCTGATACTGATACTAGAAAATTTCTCCTACGTAACTTGCATCCAGGGTGGTGGAGTACTTTGTGGCTTCATTGTCAAATTTTTTTCCCTCCAACTGCCTCTTTCTTTTTCCTTTATCACCTGGGGTTTGGATTTAGTTTGTTCCAATCGGAAAACTACTTTTGATACCTCTACCTTAAAAGCCTTGAAGGCTTTTGTTTCATTGCAGAAGAACCATAAGGCAATATGATCTCAGAAAACTAGCTGATCAAATTCAGCTCAAAAAATGTAACAATAAGATGATGCAACCATCAAAAAACTGCTTTTGATACCTCTACCTTAGAACCCTTGAAGGCTTTTGCTTCATTGCAGAAGAACCATAAGGCAATATGATCTCAGAAAACTAGCTGATCAAATTCAGCTAAAAAAATGTGAGAATAAGATGATGTTAGACACATTTATCATCCTTCAAAGCTATGGCAAATATTTAACTGCATCCCTATCTTAAGATACAATCTTTATAAACACCTGCAAATTTGTACTCCCCTAGCACATGACAGGTTGGGACCATTTGAGAAAAAAGCAAACCATCATCTACCTCCACGAAGTTCTACTCAGTTCCATTATCCAAATTAGCACACTCCCAGTCCTGTAAACAAATCTGCTATTTGACCATCCATGGAAAAATTGCTAACATACTTGTTAACATCTATGAGAAAATTGCACTTTGTCTGGCTTATTTCTCATTCAATTCCTAGTTCTAATTCCTCTGTTGTTTTAATACATATGCTTATAGCGCATAATTTGTGGTCCGAGTTACCACAGGCTCCATTTTGAATTTTGCAATGGTGAAATTTCAATCATTGCTTAAAAGCTATGCTTCGAAGGTAAGAACTGCATTCCCACCATCAAGAAATTGAAGGTGTGGTGGTAACTTAACCATTGCAGTTCACGTTGAAATATAAACAACAAAAGCAAGATTGAAAATTAAATGAGAATTAAACCAAAAGTAACTTTATTGCCAAATGAAGCATGAAAATGCAAATATATAGATATATATACGTATATATTCTACCTTTTATAAGCTGATCAAGAGAATTCAAAGCTTAGAGAGAAAAAGAAAAAAAAAAGGAAAACTAAAGTGAACAAGACAAAAAAATAGCTTAGCAAAAACCACTCTCTAACAATGACAAACGGAAAATGAGTGGAAGATGGTAGCATGCTAATTGTAATGAAGTAGCAGACGTTAAGACACAGAATATCAAATTTGGCATTTCAGCTCATAAACCCTCCAGAATCAAATGAATCCAATTCACTAAATTCTGATATTGCAATCACAAAGCAGCAAATTAGAGCTTAATTTTGTTAATCGGCCAGTCTTCCCTGACTTCTAAATATTTCTCATAGGCCCAGTTGGAAATTCCAAAAGAAGCTGAATCAGATCAGCAGCTGAGATCGTAAATAAAAAATTAGTCCAATTCTTCCACCTCTTCTCCACTATATTTTACTATGCAGAGAGAAGAACAACCAAAAAAGAAAAACGGAGATCCTAGATTTGATTCCACTACAACATAATTGGATCGTAGAGCAAAATGAATGACAACCAAACAGGGAAAAGAAACAATTAAGAGAACAAAAAGAGTAAAAAGGGAGGAGAAAAGGAAAAATACGTTTCTTAGCCTGAAGGAGGTTTCTCCCAGCCGAAGAAGCGTGAGATTCGAAGACACCATCTGCATCCAGATCAAGCATAGACATTAGATTTACAATTTAAAAAATGATGTGAGGAGGAAATTGACTCAAATTAGTGAAATAGTTGAGCTTTTCTGAAGACTGGTTTTGGCACCTGAGATGAAAGTGGAGGCGGATGAAGGAATGGAGATACACATCAGAAGAAACAAGACGATAACTGAAAAGATTCTAGTCCACTCCATTTCTGGTGTGGAAACACCGAGATCTGCGTCTTCTCCTTCTCAAAATAGCTAAATTCTTCTTCTTATTCTTCTCTACTCAAATCCCCTATATCCCTTCTGGTCTTTCAGCTTCTAATACGAGGAAAAAACAGGGAAAGCCAAAAGGAAAGCCTAGTGGTTCACCACGAAACAAAGAGATCGAATAGACAGAGCATTCTAATGGATAACAATATTATATATATAGGTGTAACTACATGTAGAAGCTCTGAGGAAGGAGAGAGAGAGAGAGAGAGAGAGAGAGAGAGAGAGGGCAGAAGAGCATAGACTTGTGAAATGGGTTACAGCTAAAAAACGCGGAAACTGGCCTGGTTGGTTGTCCTCCAGCAGAGTCAGCTGTTATACGACGACGTTTCTATCTACCATTCCAGTATGTGACGACTCCTCCAGTCATCTTCTGTTCACAGTTATTTTCTAAAACTGAAAAAAAAAAAAAAAAAAAAACGTAACGCCTCCAAATTTATTTCTATTTAAGACAAAAAAAGAACTCGGCGACCAAATGTTATAATGGTAAAGTAAATGCCTTAAAATCTTATGTTATATAACATATTATATTACGTAAATAAATTAATATATATACATATACAGCGTGTAATTTAAATTTTCATTTTAATATGGTAAAATCCAATTATAAAATATTTTATAATAATTAAAATTAAATTATTATAACTAATAGTTTTAAATTTATGTCACTCTTATTTATATGACAATGTTATTTTAATTTATGAACGATAATATGTGTTAAATATAATAATATTTAACAAATAAAATTTTTGTTTTTAATAATCTTTTTTTAAAAAAAATTATATATATGTTAAATATAACATGTATCCAACACTTGGACCGGCAGCTTGTTAAAAATTTATCAACAATACCTAAGTATAAAAACATTATATTATATAATCTTTATGTCACATGACGTTGCCATCTGACAGTCCGTCTCTTTTCTTATTTTTGACAAGTGCCTTTTACGTATCTCTCAAACGACATGACAATGCTTTTAACTCTTTTAAGATTAATGATGAAGAAAGAACAAGTCAAGAGGACAAAGAACACCCGTGGCCACTTGGGTAAAACGCCATGGCCAGACCTTCCCGATTCTATCGACGAGGCGAAAAGGCCTCCTCAAACTACTCTAACTTTGGTGGTGTCTGCAAGAAGTGGAGACCCGCTGCATCAAAGAAATGCAATTAAGGCACGCCCATTTCCTAGTCTTGCATTTTTCCCACCATCCAAACACCAATACAATAAATCTCTCGAGGTTTCCTTGCTGCGATAATAACTCTTGAGCACTGCATAGGTTCCTCAGATGGCTGGCTCGTAATGAGAGAAGCAGGGTCTTCTAATATCAGAGCATCCTTGAACCCTTTTTGAGGACCAGATGGATGCTTTCTGCATTGCACAATACCACACGCCAATTGCCTCTCAATCACTTTATCTTCTACGTATCACCTGCTCTACTTTCCTCCAGACCTGTGCGACTCACAGGATGTTCTAATCCCACCTTCTTGGTGTTCAGAAACGGGGCTTGGGTTGAAAAATGGTGCAACATCAGTGACCCTAATCCAACCATGCCAACCTCTACAGCTTACAAATGGTATTTTCCAATAGAATTTGAAGGCAACCCTAGTGCTTATAGATGTCGATTCTGATCCTACAGTGGTTTTATTGGGTAAAAGCAGAGCAATTCCATCTGCTGCTGCTGCTGCTGCTGGCTGCAGGTGCTTTAGGGAGTATTTGCTTAAATCCGAAGGGAGATCTTGCTGATTTTTCAACTCTCAAAAGGATCCATCAACCTAATCAATAATATCGAAGTATTCAATCTTGATATTGGGACAGATATGTGGGTAAAGAAAAGGAGCTTAGGAGATTGAGCATTGTTTCTCGGGCATAGCTGCAGCATATCACTATCAGCTTGTAATCAGCTTGGATATAGAGAAAATTGCATCTACTTTATGCATCCTGTAAATGATGATGACCGGTGGGTGGGTGTTCTGGATGGAAGATGGGAGCATATCACAAAGTTAAAACTCGTAAAGATTTCATTCACCATATATGAGTTCCCGATTAGGCTTTTTTGTTATATTCGTCCGAGTCAAAATAAAAGCAAACAGAACATTGTCATGTTGTAAATACTTTGATCTCTTATCTGCACTGTTTCAAAAGCTGTGGGGAGAAACCCCTTGGGCCTAACTGTGAAATTTGTCAAAGTAGTTGATAGGAAGGTAAAGACTGAAGGAAAGGAGTTAGGAAACCAAAAAATAATAAGTGTACAATCGTGCTTGTCCTATATGCAACTGCTAAATTGCAGATTTGTTGGAACCTCCAAGGCTCCAATGTGGAAATATAGCTTTGTCCCAAAGTCAATCCCCCACCAATATTTCAACAGAAAAATCTTCTTCGCTGCCACAAGAATAGTCAAAAGTTTCAATCTTGTCCAGAACTAAAAGCAAGTAGAAATCAATTATATAAAATAAAAATAAAAATAAAAAAGTAAAAAATCAATTGAAAAAAGGTAGAAAGCAGATTTGTTCAAATCCATTTCATGAAAATGCCAAACATAAGAAGATAGAAAAGGGAGACAAAGACAACAAATCTTGCTCCTTGATAGGTGAAAAAGAACATTTAGTCCTCCAACAATGAAGAAGGCTCTTTTGTTCTCATTCTTCACTTTAGCTGCCGCAATTTTTTCTAGATGGGATGCCAATAAAAAATTACTGCAACTTCCAGAAAGAACTTACACGGAATTGTTCCTGCTGTAAATTTTCCAGCAAATCAGTAATCTCGAGTTGTTTCATCACTGTGGCATGTAATACCTGTAAAAAGAATTCAGTCATACAAAGTATCATGATAAATGCAAAGGAATGCTAATCCACACTAGCATCCAATGTAGAAGTACCCAGCACTGGCCACTTGGCTAAGTGGTTAGGTTCCTCACTGGTACATTTAATAAATTGGGTACTGTAATCAAAGGTTACACATGGATTACTTCCCTTAATGGAAAAAAAAAATCTAGAAGTAAATGAAGCATACTCTCTTTGTTTTCTCAAGGTCAAACTCTACAGACTTGATCCTGTCAAGAGAATCGGTGAGTATTTTCTCTTTCTCTGCAGGAATTCCAGCAGGCTTGTTGCTGAGTTCCTCCAATACTTTCTCTAGTTTTTGAAGACGCTCTATACATGGAAGGACTTGGTCTTCATTCGTGGGCTCCGTAACTGGCGAATTGCTACTTGTGTTATACTCTACCAGATTAGAAGGACGAAGATCATTCTGCCTTCTTCGAAACTCAAATAGCAAACAATTGAAAAAGGCAACAACTTTGACAAAGAAGGATATTAGCATTCTTGCCGCACACTGGATATTCCGTTTCTCAATTTTTTCTCTAATGGTATCAAACCAATGAATAACTGAACTACCTGAAATACAACATGATAAAATTATAAATTCAATGGCAGGGAAATTTCAATCCCAGAAACATTAGAACCAACGTCTAATTGACTGTTAGCTTCTCTTGATTCCTCCATCATAACGCATTAACAAATAGAAGAATGAATCATAGTGGTAAAAGAGCATCAACATACTTTGGGAAGTTGATGCTTCCTCGTTGTTTCTTATGTCATTGGGTTCAAGTAATTTGTTCCTAGAGTGTCCCACCCTTTGGCCACCTTTTAAACCTTTCTCAGCACGAGGGAAATTATCATCACAACTGTGATAGGAACTTGGATCTGATGCCCTGACCTGCATAAATTATAGTATCAATGAATGGCATCAAGCATTAGTACACAATCACCATGGGAAACCAAGAGGCTATGTGACTCACTTCTTCATGCACGGGAGCCAAATGGGGAAACGTTGAACTTCTTTGGGCAAGTGGAGAAGAAGAATCAGCAATGTCAGATTCTGACTCTGCTGTCGAAATGTCACTGCTTCTTCCCTGATAGGCAAAGAAAACATCATACTACTAAGAGAAAAGATCTCATGACGAAACATCAAGATACAAATAACCATGAAAGCTGGACCATACCTTAAGTGGGTGTATCTGAATATAGGGATCAAATTTCTCTTGGGCATTAGAAACTCTGGTGATTTGTCTTACGAATGTTGCATCCGCATTATGGACAACCTACAAAGGGAGAAGCCTAGATCAGCTCCAGAGAAGGTTCCATTGAGAAATTCAAGCCTAGTTAAAGCTCTCCTAGTAAAAGGTAAAGGATAACCATAAACAACAACTGAAACCAGTAAAAAGGATGCCCCACCTTCATTATTTCAGGATCACTCCATGGACCTTTATTAGATCTGAGACACCCTCCCTCAACAGAACAGGTGCACAGCCCACCCAAGAAGTCTGGTAACTGACTGGAAGTATGGAGGGAAAGGAAAGGATCAGTGGCGGCCATTACTTATATGTATAGTGTATATATATATATATATATATATATATATATATATATGTATATTCTGGTTTCAAAGAAGTAAACCGAAAGCAAACAAGCAGACCTTGAATCAATGACTTCCTGTAATTTACACACAGATTTAGGCTCCAGTACCTGCAACAATAGGGTCAAGGCAATAGACATCAACCGCTGTTGGATAGGGGCACTGAGAGTATATATGCCTAAAACCATATCCTTTACCTGTATCTTTGCAATAGTTTTCCCATCAAGAAATTTTTGTGCAGCTGGCCAAAGCATTTTTTTGAATCCAGGCCCCGCATTGACAATATACATTCGATGGAGTGTCTGCAAGATCATTTGAAGAACGATCAAACAAGAATAAAACAGCAGAAATGAAAATCCCTTTTTCGAAAAATTCAGATACCTCAGGGTAATAACTGTTGTCTATTTTCGTCATTGCACCCAAGAGATTTGCAGCAGTGCGGGTAAAGTTCTTCATGCCCTGTTTTGGACTAACATTAGCAATCATTTAAGATCAGAAATGAATCTTTTAAGTTCAGTACACTATCAGCTAATAAATAATTGATGTTCTAGGTTTTCTTCCCTCAAATCTACTGAGAGATTACTATCAAAAGAATGGAAGCTTGAAGCCACTAACCAAACCATTGAAAAGCCAATCACGAAAAAGATAGCAAACTTCTGCCAGGAATGGCAACAAACTTTCAATTTTCTAAAGGCTGTCCAGGATAGGAATCAAATACCAGGCCTTGCACATCCAATATTGTGGTGGTTGAACAAATTTGGCGCTTTGCTGCAATGGAGCAAGCAGGAAATTTCTCCTGTAGAGCCCTCTCAAACTCCTGAACATGATACTTCAGATATCGTTCTATGGTAGTTATACGCATGAGCCTGCTTGGATGAGCTTTTCCAAGTCTCTCAATGTAAATGGGCCTCCCTTCCTTGTCCACTCCATGATAACCTTGCGGATAGTGTTGCAAGACTTCTTCCAACTCGTCAAAAGTAAAATCCTACACAATGATCAATTTATCGGGATATTAGATGCATCACCATAACTTTTGTCTTCAACAAAGTGCATTTGGACCATGGAATGACTGTTGGTACAGAAATACCACCAAAATGTTTGCTTTTGTTAAGCATTATAATACATATAGTTCAAGCTCGCCTTCCTTTTCCTCAAAACGTATTTGAATAATCTCATTCCGAAATAACATAAAATTTGAGAGCTAGTGTGACTTAAACCATATTCCTCACCTCTAAAATGGTGTCTGTTCCATACTCTTTCCTCCATTTAAGCATTTCTTCCCACATCTGGACTGTTTTCTCAATGTTAAACTCTCTAGCTTTCAAAAATCTACAAGTTGAAAATATGATATCAATGAGTATATCTGATATGAATTGGCCAACAAATAATGAAGAGTTAACTAAAGCAGCCAGTGTTCGTGTATCTCAAAAGTAAAAACAGTAGATCGTACAAGATTCAACTGACCTCAGCAATGTGTGATAGTCATCATGCCTAGGAGGTAATAAATCCCTCTCAAGGAGCTTTTGACGGAATTCAAGAACTGCACTCTCCTCTTTTGCATCCCTTACATCCTCAATAGAAAGGGAAGGAACCCTGTAGTCGATTTTCCTCTTCCCTCTTTTTTTTAGAGAATGTGTAAACTTATTTGAAGCATTTATTGCCTTCTTCTTCAAATTGCCAATTTTTGATCGCCGTCTCTCATCCTCAGAGTTTTCAAAATCAGATCTTCTCTCCCTAATTTCATCTTGAACACCAAGTTCTTCCAGTCCTTCAATGGGAGAAACCAAGATTAGCAGTTGAACATCACATTCTAAGTATATAGCTTATACCCCCAACATTTAGTGATCTTTTTATTGCCCCCAAGAAAAAACGGTTTATAAACTTTAAAAACACATCTTAATCTAGCAAGAGTACCTGACATTTCGTCTGATGGTAAGGGACCAACCTTGGTGCTAATTCACGGCAAGCTCAAAATATGCATGCAACTATATATGCCAAAAGCAGAAACAACTACTAAGAATCCCAACGCGCATTAGGGGAAAAAAGACAAACCTGTAGAACGTGAAGTAAACAAATGAATGTAGTTCAAATCAGTAAAACTGTGTAGCTATGCAATTAAAAGCTGGCCAAAATGATGATAAATACGAAAAGTACATTGGCAAATACCACATCCATAAATCCAGTCCCCTGCTTTCTATTAAGATAAGATAAGAATGAGAGAGGATAACAAATTTCCTATGATGTTGCTTTTGCAACTACTGAATTTCCTCGGTTCTTTTTTGGTAGAGGAATGAGGAATCAATAACTTAGTTAATAAATCAAAACTGCAGTTTCCCGTGAGCTGAATACCCCAGATCTCTGGGTATCATACCATGAATGTTTCTCAAATTCTCACGAAACTTCGGCAAGAAAGACAACGCTTATGCTGG